CCGCTGATATCACCATCGATTTAGTTTTCTCTGTTGGAATCACCATGTTGTATATGAGCGCCGTATCTTCGAATTCTTTAATTAATCTCCAGGTCATCTTCATTTTCGGCTAGTATTATGGCGTCATCGGCGTAGTATATTATCTGCATTTCCTTTTCTCCTATTCTATATCCTCTTCTTTTTTTATATCAGTGGGCTCAGCGAATCTACTTGCCTAATGCCAGTTTCATACTTGATAGGTTGCGAGAGTTTTCCGTTACATCTTACCATAGCTATGTTACCTTTATATACGAGTATATTCTCTATAGCTTTTACTTAATCCAGTGGTATCCCCTGTCATATAATAAATGTAACACTAATACGTAAAAAATAGGTGGTAGACAAGGACCAGTCGACCAAGACGGTACCAGCCGCTAGGTTTTCCCAGGGTGCCTTATAAATGTCCGCATGTTTCCACACCTAAGCTATGCAGTCAGTTATCTTCCAAAACGAAGAAATTAATGATGATGGATCCTCGAGCTCCAAGAACTCTGGACGTAAACTCAATCCACTCTCGGAATGTCCGGGTGGAGGGTGGACTCGAGGGAACAACATCGAAGATAAAATTTGTTTTACGAACATCTGCGGCATTAACAGCAACACTGATACTGTTCGTCACTACCTGAAATCCAATCGTCCTGCTATGCTTTACTTGGCGGAGGCAAAAATCTCAGGGTCTGCACCGATTAACCATCTTAACTTCCCAAACTACGAGGTGCACTCCAATCTGAGAAAGAACGGGGAACTTGTGGCTTTTATCTGCAGCAGTCTTCCCTGCTCCAGAGATGTTTCTTTGGAATCAGACCGGAAGGACACCCAAACCCAATTGCTGCCTTGATTTCAATGCCCATAATGAGCTTTGGTTGGGCTCAAACAAGACCGATGCATCAGGTCGTGCAGTCGAAGCATTGTTACTCAAGGGCTGACCCAGCTGGTGACGAGCCCTACTTTTTTCCCCCGCGTCTCGTCACACGCCAGTAGCCTGCTGGATCTCTTTCTGACCACGCATCCTGTCGCTTACAGCACTGCTGTCCTGTCTCCCTTGGGTAACTTAGACCACTGTATTGAGGAGGTTAGGTTTCGGTAAAAACCCACGGTTTCAGCAGAAACTTGTTGCACAGGTCGCAAAATTTGGCATTACGGACATGCCGACTGGGAAGGGCTCAGAGACTTCTTCTCTAGCTTTCCTTGGAAAGATGTCTGTTTCAATGACGCGGATGCGTCGGCGGTCCGCTCTTCGATGACCGACATTATCCACGTCGGAATGGAGAAATACATCCCTCACACAGTGAAAGTGCCTAAACCAGGGTCCAACGGCAAGTTTAACCAATCGTGTAACACTACTCGCCAGAGGAAGATCAAAGCACAGAGAACCTTCTTACAAAACCCCACTGTAGAGAACACACAAACCGTCGTCGAGTCCAGAAACAAATATAACGAAGCGGTTCGCAGTACCAAAAACCAACATTATATAAAAGTTAGGCACAGGGTAATCTCGCAGCGCAGTGGCAGTCGGTCTTTCTGGACGCTGGCCAAGCAGATTGAGAAGAATTTGTCACGCAGTAGCCTTCCACCGTAAGACGAGTGCTCTTCCCAACTAACAATTATCACTCCTATTAGAGTTGCAAGAATGATTATACAGTATTCCTTACACAGCATTGTATAGTGTAAGAACATTGGCAAAACCCTCTTAGAACAGCTATACAAGCGGAATGGGCACACCTAATAGGACACTTCAGTCATTTAAGAGGTTGTATAAGGGCTGCAGGTAAAAGTTATACAACAAAAGTGTAAGCCTCTTGCAGCCGCTATAGGACATTTGCGTCAATGCAAGATTCAGTTTTTGTCAACTTTACAACTATTCTGTTACGTGATTCTACTTGGTTGCAACCAAACTATTTCTTTTGTATTGTATAGGCGAAGTGAAGAATATATAACTAACATTACAGTCATCTTGTTTACTTACATATCGGCCATTGTGAATTTCATACACATGTATATGATAAACTTCTACACTGTGATATAGGGCTATCGAATTACTTGCGCAGAAATTGTTTTTGTGATTATCGTGCAAAGTAGTTACGCAATTTCTACGGGCTTCGTATTTGATTCATATTTTAATATTGATCAAAAGTATGTCTAGATTTTTAAGATGGAAAACTAAACTTATCTGCGTTAAATCTTCCACAAATCCTATATTTAGACACAATTACACTAAGGTTCATCACTTCATATGTGTAATTTCGAACTGAAACATAATTATTTAATACTAAATAGAGGAATAAATGTTTGCCCAATATGGTCCATGTTGTCTTTGGTTTATTAGAATATTTTGGTGTTGCCTGCAGGTGTTATACAACAATTTGACAAATGTCTAAGATGAAATACCGACAGAGTCGAATAGTTTGCCCAGAATTTGTACCAGTTGTATACCAACATATTTAGCAACAATTTTGTACTACAAAAGTTGTAATATTGCTGCATATGTACAGCCTTTAACAGTTACTAAGGCCCGTATCGTCAGTCGTCCCTACAATAATTGTAGGACGCCTTTTTGGCCTCCTTGATTGCCATAGTTTTCCACTTGTCCGTGTCAGAACTCTATTTTGAGGTTATGTCACAAACATCTATTTGCATGAAATTGTGCTTGCTTTTGAGTTATATCATGTTTTATCAGCCTGAAATTTACTACAATTTAAAAAGAAAACATATCTTCACAATAGGAGAGCGCTGACGCTTACACTGGACAAGTGTAATCTAGAAATTTTTGAAGGAGAGAAAGGAGTATGACAATCAAGGAGGCCATAAACGCGCCCTACAATTGTAGGGACGACTGACGATACGGGCCTAAACAATGTACAAATAGGTGCTTTCGTTGGAAGCAATTTGTTGGCTAAAGTAGTAAATTTGCACAGAAAAGCATAAACGTTGCCATGGATGTAACATCACAACCATTTTGACTAACGTGCAAAGATGCCATATAAAATAGTTGTATAAACGTTTATGCAACAGTTAAAATTTTGTCTCATAAGGTGTTGTATAACTATGCTATAAAAATATTTTAAACACCTCATTTTAGAGCAAATATGTTGCAGAAAGCAAATTTGCATTCCACACAACATTAAGCCAGCATTTTGGTGTTCAGGCAACAACAATAGAGATCTTTTCTGGCTGAACGGTTCCTTTACCAAAAGCTTATAGCACTACTTTGCTAGTTGGGTTGTCTCGCTCGGCATCAATAAAGCTTCTGGTCCGGACTTGATTCCCGCTATTGTACTGAAGAGGTGTGCAGCGGAGCTCCAGTTCTTTCGCATCTCTTCCAGATGTCTTATGAATCCGGCACCTTCGCAGACAACTGGAAATTTGCTCATGTCCCTCCCATCTCAAAAACAAAGGATCTAAGACCGACTCTTACAACTACAGGCCTATAGCTCTGCCCTCTATTATAAGTAAGGTGATGGGGAGGTGCATAAACCGCGAGTTCAACAACGTCACAGCTTGACTAGCAGCAGACAGTATGGTTTCAGGCACCAACGATCCACAGGGGCTCTCCTAGCTTACGTCACGCAATTTTGAGTCTCATGTCGTTGCTCTTGACATCATGAAAGCGTTCGATCAGCTGTGGGATGCTGCCTCCTAAAGCAAACTTTAGATGGGTGGCTGACTTTATCTCTGGCCGCAAGATATCCGTCGTAAATGACGGGTTCTCCTCTTCATGCCACATTGTCAACGCGGGTGTTCCCCAGGGATCGGTCGTGGCTCCGACACTGTTTCTCTTACATATCAACGACTTCCTTTCCTGCACGATCAATCCAATCCACAGCTTTGCTGATGATAGCACTCTACATGCAGGAATTCAGAGTGACAAGCCGATCTCTGCTGAGCTGGAAAAAAGAAGTCTAGCGACAACTTCCTCTCTGAATAGAGACTGGAGGCTATCACTGCTTGGGGACGCACCAATGCTTCCAAAACACAGTACTGTACTTTGACGAACAAAAAGCGTCCTAGCGTCCGCCCGGTTTCAATAAATGGCCGGGTTCTGCCAAAGAGCCATTCATTGCGGCTGGTCGGAGTCGAGATCACCGAGGCCCTGATCTGGCACGAACACATTTCGTCAATAGCTGCAGCTGCTGGGAAAAAGCTAGGATATTTGTTTAGGGCCAAGAAGTACTTTTCTCCGCATGACCTTCTCACTCTATACAAGGATCAGATAAGGCCTAACCTCGAGTATTGCTCACACGTTTGGGGCGCTGCCGCCCCGACTACATTATCCATGCTCGATGCTGTCCAGAGGAGGGCAGCCGGACTGATCGATGACTCTTCTCTAACAGACGCTCTCGGGACTCTTTCGCACCGGCGGGCCGTCACAGATCTAGCTCTTTTCTACCGCTAGACCAAAGGGCTTTGTTCCTCAGAGCTCTCTTCTATGATGCTGCCGCGCGATGTGCCTGCCAGACAGACCCGCCTGACTTTGGCGTCCCATCCTAACCGTGTCGAACTTCGTACATACAGAACTGGCCGATACGACCGCTCCTTTGTCCCGAGGGTGTCGAGATTGTGGACATTCTACAAGAGGAAGCTTTTCCCAGTTCTACTAACCTTAGGCAGTTCTACATAAAATCGTATTAACAAAATTTCTTTAGGATCATCATAGCAGCCGCGGTGTTTCGGCATTTAGGCTTCCGCCTGCGCGGCTGCTTCGATATAAAAAAAAAGTTAACAGTATAAAAAGTTAATTGTTCTAATGGGTTGTAACTCACGACCACAACGTATAATAAAGCCCAATCTGTTGTAACACTCCATATGGCAACATTCGATTCCGTCAATATCAAATAGCTATGTCCAATTGTCTTGGTAGAGTCAGTGTATACACTCGAACTGTTTATGAAAGATTAGTGAAAATAGTCAGCAAAATGACTTGAGGGTCACTTATATCCAATCCATTATTTACTGACACTTACCGTTTTCTCCATATATCACCCTGAAGGTGTCCGAGTGCAAATGTCCAAAGAACTGTCCAACGATGATGGAAGCGTACCTGCGGACAATCTTGAGGTATTTCTTGTTGTGATGGTCTGAATACGATATGTGGGAGGGAGGGTAGGCACCTCTATGGCGTTCGTTTGAACCTGGAGCTATGTGACCCACGAGGTATACCTGGAACAAGAATACTTCATGAGTATTATGGGAATTTGGTGGCCTACAAACCATAAAACCATATACAGTCTTTCATATACTGAGATAATGACACTTCGACATCTTAATCATAAGACCAGTATATGAGCATGTTACAAGTAAACAGGTTGCCCTACTGCTTGAAGCGTTTGACCATAAAATGCATCTAAAAAGTGAAGTCTTTAGCACTGGAATATAGGTAGGTCATGCGTTCCCAGCTTAAGCCTCAATAACGCCTGCTTCGATACGTTTTAATAATCCTTGATAAAAATTGTCCATTTCCAGTATACTGAAGAGGTGTATTTACATACTGCATCGCCATGGAATAATTTCCCTCCGAATATTCCAGTCCATTTTAATAAATCCTCTCGCATCGCTAAGTTCGCGCATCTAGCACGTCAAATTCTACGAATATATACCCATAAAACCAAAGCTTCTCCTTTTTTTACTGTCGGTCATCGGAACTAATGTTAGGGGGATTTTTTGCTGGTGTAGGTATCCCGACAACCGCAAAACCATATTTTTTCGCATCATGCATCCATAACCGACACGATATTTCACCGAGGAACATAATTAATAATATTTTGCGTTTGCGGTGGACAGATAGCGGCGATGCCGGATTTCCATGTCTGCGTTATTGTCATCTGATATACAAATATATAAGATGGTTTTTCATTCTTATTTTGGACTTTATACTCTCCAGAGGTGTCAGTAAACTTTCACTTAAACGTGAGTGGCTTCATTTGGCAGAACATGGAGGTTGATTAGCGAGAAACCACAGGATAAGTTTAAGAATTACATTAATTTTAGTATACCTAGATCCATTGTTCCTATTTTTTGCCTTTCTTTGACAAGATCAAGGCGGGAGTGCCACAGTGATCGATTTTGACTCCAGCATTGCTTTAAACTCCACATTGATGACCAGCATGATCACCAGTAAGAATAGACTCAATGCTATACATAGTTCCGATGGGTGGGCGATATATATCAAGCGATTGCTTATTTGGATGAGGTTAAAATTACATGGCACAGTATTTGACACAAACACAATTACACAGGATCTGGAAATCGTCGGGTTGTCCATTGAAAATTGAAAAGTACAATTGAAGTCCAGTCTATCCAAAGTCCAGATTTGGATAATTTTACACTGTCCATACAAGACGCAGACAATTTGACTAATTGGTGATTTTGCGATTTTTTGCCAAACCAAAATGAATTATAAATTCTCATTCATTGTGTCTTCGAGCTCGCTTCAATAGCTGTTCTTATCTCTTTCATGGCAATCACAGCATCCCTGTATTGTTGATGTTAAAAGTATGTAATATGTCTTTATTGCATAATTAGCATCCCAATATAACATTAAAAAGTATGATGCAACTGGCGGTGTCTAGCCATTGGTCAACCTACTCAATTAATATTTGGAAATATATAAAAAAAGTCTAAATCAAGTATACGAGGGGGTACATAAAAATACGGATTTTTTTTTAAAAGCTATTTATTTTCAACTTTTTCACAAAGCAACCTTATCTCCTTCAAAATAGGGTAAATGCGGGAGAGTTGCCGCACTTTTTGAAAAATGGCTGTAATTTTCTTGATTTTTAACACTGTTCTTTAAAAATAAATCAATACAAAGGTACTGTATTAAACTTTATTGAGACATAAAAATAAACTTTAATTCTGAAGAAATATAGACAAAGCAAAAAAAAAATTTTTTCTATTAAAATCGGCATCTCTCCCACACTACTGGGAGAGACGCCGCATCAAAAAAGGAGAGATGCCGCAGTATCGGCATCTCTGGAAAACCCCTAATTTTCATTTCTTTTTCTTAAGTCGAATCTAGAACAGATGTTACACACTTCACCATACATGGTACAAGTGACATGTAGCCACTTTAAGCATTTAAGGCATTGCAGCCAATCCACTGTTTTAGTTGTCGTTTCGTAAACTTCAAAGCATTCCACGCAGCGTTCCCGATTTTCATTTTTCTTTTTGGCCAGAGGTTCATCGTCGCTGTCGCTCCATTGACTTTTTTCTGGCTCTTCCTCTAGCTGTTTTTTTTTGTACTCTTAGTTTCTTTTTCTTCGCTGTCACATTGGTTGTGTTATGTTTGTCAGGGCGAACCCTCTTCGTTATGTTTTCAGGTGATGTTAACACAGCTGCGCTTTGCTTGAACCTTTGCTCGAAGGATACAGGTACTTTTGGGATATAAGAAACTTCTTGCAAAAATTTTGAAGGAGTGATTTGTGGACCGTCGCCTTCATCTCCCCTACCACATGCTTGAGCAGAACTAGTAGGGCTGGTGGAGGGTAATCCTAAGCTGGGACGGTTAGCATCTCTTTCTGGGGAAGTATCTGCCATGGCTGAATCAGTTATAGAATAGAAGTGATCCGGAATAGCATTAGGATCAACAGGATATATCCCTGTTGCCTTGAAACCGTTAATGGCTGTGGCCACAGATGCTGATCTTAACCAACTTTTTCCAATTAATGCACCGGCTTGATATCTCGTCAAGTTTCTGCTGGCGTTGTGTTTCATCCATAACTGAGCTTCATGGTTAAAATAAGTTTTAAAAGGCTTAAAAAAGCTTCGGTCTAGTGGCTGAAGAGCCTGGGTACAGTGGCTTGGTAAACACAAGATAATTATATCGTTATCGTCAGCCACTTGCAGCATATCGCCGTCAGTACTGTGTGATGTGTGGCCATCCAGGATTAACAAACACTTACCGGATGGCTTATTGGGGATAAACTGCTCCTTTAACCATTTGAGAAATAATTCCGAATTTATGAAGGATGACTTTCTATTCATATAAATTTTGGATCCAGCTGGCAATCCATCCGAAAATTCAGCCTTTCGGTTTACACCTTTGAAAATTAACGTGGGTGGAATGAACCTGCCGTCTGCACTACAGCATGCAACAACCGTTACATTTTCTCCTCGCTCTTTAGATGTTAAAACGTGGACATCTCTTGCACCTTTCGTTGTTAGTACTTTCCCAGGTTTGTTGATCAGTTGAACACCTGTCTCGTCCATATTGAAAATATGAGATGGCTTATCCAATAAATTATTTTCAGTTAGGATATCAATCAAAAGTTGAAAAAATTTGGAAGTTTCTTCTCTATTCATTCCTCGAGCTCTTAATAATGACAGTCCTTCAGCTTGCCGTATTGTCAATTCGGGATTTCTTTCTAAAAATGATGGCAGCCAAGAATAACCAGCCATCCCGCTGTTGTGTGAAAATTTGTGTTTCAATTTCAGCTTCTCAGCAAAATTATAAGCCAGCCGTCGAGCTGTATTTCTATCAGGAGCAAATCCAGCCGCTGCCAATCGTTGGATGTGAACCACCAACCGTTTTTCATTTTTATGCCCTAGAACACCTTTAAAATAAATTATGCGGTAATGCTGAAGCAAAGTCTAAAAAATCACTTTACCTTCTGGTCCGAGACTGCCTTTCTGAAGATTACCACTGGCCATTCTACGTTTAAGGGTCTTTGGTGGGACATGATAACGCCTATGGGCTTCTCTTTTGGATATCTCACCGGAACTAACTTTATTAATGGCTTCTTGCAATTGTTCTTCGGTCCACAAAGCCCTAGGGCGTGCATTTTCCTTCCTCTGATATTTCCGTGGCATTTTTCTAATCAAAATGTAACTTTAATTTGATAAAATCCATGACAAAACGATAACTTTGAAAAAATAATTTGCGGCATCTCTCCTTCCTTAAAATGCGGCAACTGTCCTTTTTGTTGGGAGAGATGCCGCGCCCGCTTATCAAAATCACGCATTTACAACGCGACAAAATATAACATGGCATGTGTGGACATAACCTCAAAATACTGGAAAAAGCTTACGATTATCAAATAAAACTACCACCGTGCAAAAAACCACACTTTCTAGGATACAGGCTAAAATTTTGCAAAGAAAATTCGATCTTACCTTCCTAAATTCGAGGATAGCATGCAATATTCCAAAAAACAAACACGTTCGACGTCGTAACCGTTCACTAAACGATCGACTTTCATCATGGGTACACTCGGTTGCCTACTCTATGGCATTAGCGTTGAAATACGACAAAAGCGGCGTCTCTCCCGCCGCGGCAACTCTCCCGCATTTACCCTACTGTCCACTACAACTAATACAATTGCCCCACCGGTGCTTCCACTGCTCGAAACATTTTTTGATGTCTTCCTTAGAAATGTCTGAAAGCTCCTCACTCGTTTTTTTCTTGACCTCCTTCAATGTAGTCAAAGCGGCGTCCTTTCATGCCCCTTCTCATACCTGGAAATAAGAAATAGTCGCACGGAGCCAAGTCAGGCGAATAAGGTATGTGAGGCAACGGAACCATGGCATTTTTAGCCCAAAACTGTCGAACAGAGATGGCTGTGTGCGCAGGTGCATTATCGTGGTGGAAGAACCAGTCTCCTGCCTGTCACAAATCGTGTCTTTTTTGCCGAACACTGTTTCGCAATCGTCATAAAACCTCCAAAAAGCACAAGCTCTCGAATTTTTTCAACATTCTCGTCTATTCGGGCACAGCGAGGTTTGTCATTAATGGAGATGTCGCCATTTTTAAATCGAGCAAACCTCTCGTACACCTGAGTTTTTCCTATAGCACCATCTTTGTAAGCTATTTTCAACATTAAATAGTTGCAGAAGCATTTTTACCAATTAGAAAGCAAAAAAATACAGCTGCCCGTTGCTCACTGAAGCTTGTCATCGTAAAAAACGAAACAAGCACAAAACAGCTCTTGGAAAAATAATGACTACAGAGGAACGAAACAAGCCAGATCGACAACTCAGGTGGCACTCCTACTGGTAATGAGTTGCGCTGTACGCCCGTAGGGACACAAGCTCCGCCCACTGCAATGCTATTTCGGTTATTTTTGGGTACCTCCTCGTATACTATATACTATAAACTATAATGTCATTTACCTTTTACTGGAGACTTAGAGTATTAAATGCTTTACAAATTTTTGTGTTACTGTACAAGCGGCAACAAGAATTCTTTTAATTATTTGTAGTCTGTAGGAAAACATTTG